AGAAGAACCTTTGTGCTGGAGTGACAAGGCACCTGCCTTGAGAGTTGCACTGACGCAGCGTCTTCACGACGTCCTACGTTCTCGCCGCGCAACTCCTATCATCCAATGCAATATTCAGTGCCACGATTAGTAGTGAATGAATTTTTAACGTGACTTGCGGTGACTCGTCCATGAATTGTTCATGAACACCGCCCGTTTCCTCTTGGCTGAGGGTCATCCATGGATATACGCATCTGTGGCTGTCGCTCACTGCCGTCAATCACCAAAAATCCTCCTGGCTGATCGTCCGCTTTCTAGACGGCGGGACAAATTCACCAGTACTAACGTGGTTATGGAAGATCAAGTTTTTGTTCTTGGCCAAATGGTCATGGATCATATGGAAAATGCTGCGTTTCAAAGACGTATGGTTTGTACGCAAAGACATGAAGCTGAAGTTTGTCGAATACAGTGCAACCGTCAGTTGCTCACGCAACTTCTTGGACAACCAGGAGCAAGGGGGCGATGCGATAAGTCTTGAATCGTGAAATCTGGTTTTCAACTAGTCGTACGTCAGCTGAAGTTCATATCTGAAAGAAAAGTTATGGAAAACTACTGCGAGGACGATCTGAGGTTCGAGATGATGGCGACTTCAGATTTAGTTACCTTAACTACGGAAGCAGAACTAAATTCTATGAGGGTTTTCTGTGACTTTGCTTTCCACCAACTGAGTTCAGTTCTAAGCTGGTTCGTGAGGAAGAATGGGATGATTGTTCATTTGTTGAAGGAAACGATGAGGATCGCATTTATCGTCCTGCTGTCGTCGTCGTCGTCGTCGTCAACGACAGCACGACTTGCCGACGTCAACTAATCAATCGACGACGAGCACGACGAAGCGATGACGACGCTGGCGACAAGACATGCGTTATCGAATGACAAGCACCAATGCACCGGAAGCGATCGAACCAATGACGCGAGATGACATCGCGGCGACCAACCGTCGTACTGTAGGAGGATTTAAAACAGGTGCGCAATGAGCGTCGTCCTGTCTATGGCGCAATTATCTGAAACGGTCGACCGTTACCAACCAACCAACCAACCAACCAAACGACCAGCCGATCTGCCTGTCGAGGCCGTAAGCTAGAGAGCTAGAGAAAGCGTGCGCCGGTGCGGGCGAACGAGATTGTCCTCCGGCAAGTTGAAACAGGACGAAGAGCGCAGAAGCAGCAGCACGGTGTTGTCGAATCTGCACATTCAGCCAGTGTCCAGTGGTCAGCGGCGGCGACCACTATGCAGACTCAACGGTTTTACCCGTCGTTTTCGGTGGGGCGCTACTCGCCAACGCAGTACGCCAGGTCGGCCGCTGAGCAAATGAGGAGGCAGTGCATGACGAACGTCGGAGTTGCGGTGAGTAGGAACAGTACGCTTTCGATTCGTTTCGTCTTCACCGTCAGAAGTAGCAGGCCCCGGTTTGTGAGATCCTCGAAAGCTTCAGACTCTGATACGGCTACGCTGAAAAAGTTTCGATTAAACTCGAAACAGTCGTTCCAATTTCAATGAAATTCATATGCTGATAAGAAATGAACTAATATGACCTACAGGCCGCATAAATAAATTATCTTCTATCATTATGCTTAAACGCCTTTTAATTGTAATGTCAAATTTTTAAGTAAATTTGGATAAATAACCACTTGGAAATGAAAAATCAATTAACAGAAATATAAAATTAGTGTAGTCTGAGCCCATTCAATCGACCGTTATACTCCTGTCTACTTCTTGTCAAAACAGAACGTCCAATAAATCAACCGTAACAGCGCTGAGAGCTCTTTCAATTGGCTCTTAGTTCTAACACACAAGGGTCGTTAAAGAACAAAGTAGAAGCAACGAGAGGTTGGCAGACGTATCTGGACGCCGTTTCTCGAATAAGTCTAAAGCACCAAATGAACCTATTCAAAGAAGTTAGGATTTAGCATGAGTTGACTTTTGGCAATTATTTTGTTCAAAATATCTTTTCGGTTTTATTAAATCCGGCTATGACAGCATCGGCTTAATCTAAGCCAGCCATTTTCATAATCATGTTTACTAAAGTCTTTGTTTACCAATAACGACGGTTTATTTAACGTGGCGTTGATTATTGTGTGCCATCCCGTGCTGGATCATTAGCATCTAAAACTTTTTTGGAAACGAAATTTCAGCGGCGCCAATGACAGCA